TTGTTTCTCGTGCTGCCAACCATGGAATCAAAGGACCTATCACTTCCAAGTCATCTGCAACCGGGTGTCGGTGTAAGCCTGTAAAATTATTTAGAAATATTCCTGTTGAATAAAATAAATGCATGTTCCCTATAGAGTCATTTCGAATTTAAGTCAGTTCATTCAACAGCATTCTGCTTTTTTTTGAAAATCTGACTGGTAGCCACTCGTCATAAGTCATTGCGCTAAAGCGTTCTCTTCGAAAGGCGACTCTCTTCAATTCGATGGCAACCACACCTCCATTTTTAACGCTTTAATCTCTGCAGCATTTGGCAACTTTTGTCCAAGGTATTGCCATCCTTCTCGCGACAGCTTGAGGCACCGGATTATGTCACTTTACTCCTAAAATTGATAATCAAACCTTCCTTTCCGCCGCCAGTCAGCTGTGATGACCGCTTACCTTTCCAGGTGACGTAGCAAACGACAGTTTGTCATCATTAGAATGCCCGTCTTTTTGTACTATAGTGACTTGGATGTGTTGGCACACTTCTTTTCATGAAGTTGACGGTTAGATGCTGATGTCCGTTTCTATGACATCAGCTAGGAGGGCTTTATTTTAAAGGCAGAGTCTACGGCCATTTGCACACCGTCTGGTGTAGTCTTCTGTTTCCTTCCTACAGAGTGACACTCACTTGTCAACCTCGGAAGGAAGAAGGGCGAGTCACCCCAACCGGATCTTGAACTAGGGACTATCGATTCTGATTTCGAAGTTCTACAGATTGAACAAGCACGATCTGAACCAACGTAATAAATTCTTTGCTGAACAGAATTTTCGTGAATTAAACAAAAACTGCCCTCGAACAGAATCGAACCCGGTCTCTCAGGAATTCGAAGCAGACCTCTCCAACACTTGCCCACACGCCACTACGAGACTCACCTGCAAACATGTCATATGTGTCTTTAGCGTCTCCAATCCTATTTTTGCTTTTGCCCTTGAGCAGAAGATAACACGAGTCTGGATCATATCCGTTCGACAAATCGAATATCAGAACCGGATCTTGATGTCGTCTACAGGTCGTTTGAACAAGTAAAAGTAATAGTACTTCGCTTCTGAAGACATTGGAAATAGGGGCCTAAACAGTAACTGCTACGACTTCCCGATCTGGAAATTTAGGGACCGTATATAAACGTTCTCCAGTACATCCGTATCTTGCACCATATTAACAATCGTGAGCACCGTAATTCGTCCCACGAAGTCCATTTAAACCGCTCTTATCTGGGATTGAGGTCATGGCTCGCGACTCATGATTTTAGGTCAGCATTGGTATGAGGATTGACTTAAACACAGATGGCTTAGTCTTCAGACTTGGCTACGCATGAAATGCAATGGATCAGAGTAATTCACCCAGAATGTCGCTGATGATGCCTAGATACAAGAATTTTTCACTACCTCCACAATTTTTTCCATTATCTGAAGAGCGGGGCGGAGCAGGAGAACGAGAAAACCATAGGTTTGACTTTCAGACACACTTACGCTTGTTGGACCGCTGCAGTCAGATGCAAGAATTTCCAGGGAGAGCTACAGATCGACGAAGAACAAGTTAACCTAGCAAGATCGTCTGCAAAAGACAAGCTTCTGGTTTTTATATCTCCTAAATTGATACATTGATCATCCTGATTGTGTCTGACAATTCTATCCATGTACATCACGAGCAGGTGAGGGTACAAAACGCAGCCTTGGAGGAGTCGACCGCCAACGCTGTAAGGTCTCCCTCAACATCTGTGAGGCATTTGGTAACACGGACAACTTTTGAAGCGCCATAGCGTTCTATAATGGCAGTATGCTGATGAGCAGGTGGTAAGAGTTTACGGGAGTCCTCGTAATCTCAAACCCTACTTCATTTCCATATGGCCTTATGACCAGCAACGGTGGCGTTTTATTTCCGTCGCTTATAGTTTTTGCTGTTGGCCTTATTAAGTTCTGTCGCCTCCGGGCCATGAGCAAGATATTTAAAATGCAGTGTCTGCATGTGCACTGCTCGGCTCCATAACTGTTATCTTATGAGCAAACATGAATACCACAGCATTAATAATTTGTTGTTTGCTGCCGTTCCATCCTTAGCTGACTGAAGTTCCGCCTGGTGACGGGGAACGGCGTGTTTCGTTCATAGAATGAGCCTTTACCATGCATCAGCATGAACTGTTGCTTTGACATCGACCTCAGAACGTAAACCTATGCTTGAGGGATAAATGTCACTGAATTTACTGTAAACTATTATTTATTTTCAAGAGATTCGAGTAAAAAACACATTGCTATACACTGTCATCAAGAATACATCGTAACGACCTCATTTCCGCTGCCCCTTACGAGAATTACTTTATGTAGTCCAGCCGTCAAACATTTCAAGTGTTCCATGTAGTCCGGAAGATCGGATTTGTTTGTGGGGGGAGGCGGCAAATTCAACACCACCAGACGGCTGCTGGACGACCTTTGCATCATAACCTCGTTAAGGACCGTTGCCGTTTTGATCTTCCAACTTTTCATTACTTCCTGGTCTATGAGCGGCTCCTCGTTTAGGTCGTTCTGTAGATCGTAATCGAACGTCTCACAGATGGAAGAATGACGCACAGGTGAATCCAGGATGGAAGCAACGGAAGCTTTCTTGGCTGCTTCTCTTGACAATTTCTTGATCAACGAATCAGGTGCTTCAGCACAGGCAGCACTCTCTGCTGGAGCTGACGTCATCTTCTCTGTCGTACTGGGTTTGTTTTCCTAAGATATAGCAACATAATATCATTTGAACAGCAAAATAAGCTATAGACAATAGAGGAAGCCATGTGAAACATGTCATGAATGAAGTTGATTTCATTCTGGTAAGGCATACAACTTCCACAAAATTGCTTTTCGTCCTGAAGATGAAAATGAGGAAACATCCACTTGCCCTTGAAATTGTTTAAATATTTTTTCGAGTTCCCACCTTGCACGTGATTCATTGTTAAACTGCATAGTCAAATATGTCAAGGTTAATTGCAGCAATATGAGGTGCTCGGTTCAGAGAACATGGGCGTGTCTCTTCCTTACTCAGGTGTGACAATACCAGAATGCCGTTATGTTCATCTTGTCCATAAGTCTAAGATTTGC